TTGTTCATCAATCTTGAGATCAAGATTGAAGGGAATTATTCATAGGGTGTGAGGTGAATTTCCAACATTTGGTATATAGAGCTCCGGTTGAGAGATTCAAGGAAGGAAGATAGTGATGGCGATGAACTATCCGAACGACAACTTTCTGGCGACCCTGCCAATTCTCAAGAAAGACAATTATGAGAATTGGTGCAAGCAGATTAAGGTGATTTTCTGTTACCAAGATCTTTGAGATCTTGTGAAGGACGGAGTAACATTGCTTAGGGAGAACGCAACAGAGGCAGAAAAGGTTGCGCACAAAGAATTGAAGAAGAAGGATTATAAAGCACTCTTTATAATTTATCAATGTGTCGATCCTGATAACTTTGAAAAGGTTAGTGATGTTGATTCAGCAAAAGAAGCATGGGAGATTCTTGAAAAGTCGTTTGGAGGGGCAGAGAAGGTGAAAGAGGTGAGGTTACAAACTCACAAGAGAACCTATGAGTTGCTTCAGATGGAAGACAACGAAAGTATTACAGATTTCTTCACCAGAGTTACAAAGTTGGTGAATCAAATCAAAGTATGTGGAGAAGCGCTGACGACGAGAGCAGTTGTCTCAAAGATTTTGAGATCGTTGGCTCCAAAATTCGACCACGTATAGAAGAGTCAAAAGATCTTTCAGTGTTGACGAAGGAAGAGCTTCAAGGGACTCTTGAGTCTCGTGAACAGAGGATGGCTGAGAGAGCTGCAGGAAAGTCGAAAGATATGGCTTTGCAGGCGCAGTCAAAAAAGGAAAGAAAAGGCAAAGGTAGCTGGAATGGAAACAAAGGAGGAAACCAGTCGAATCAGAAGAAACCTTGGAACCAAGGAAACCAAAGAGGTGATGCTGCAGGTAAAAGAAGAGGTGGTGGTCGAAAGACAGACAAAATCCACATTCAATGTTTCAATTGCCAGAAGTATGGTAATTATTTTAGTGATTGTCCAAAAAGGAAGAGAAATCAAGAGACTGATGCAAAGCTGGCGAAACATAAAGAAGAAGAAACGTTGCTAATGGTCACAACAAAAGATGAAGAAAGATTTCAAGATCAGTGGTACTTGGACTCAGGATGCTCATCACACATTACTGGAAGGAAAGATTGGTTTGTCAACATGAAGCCCTCGTCGAAGAACACAGTGAAGTTTGCAAATGACAACACTCTAGCAGTTGAAGGTGTTGGTGATGTTTTGATTATGAGGAAAGATGGCAAAAGGTCAACAATTTCCAATGTGTTGTACATACCAGACATGAAGAGTAATTTGCTCAGTATAGGGCCGCTTGTCGAAAAGAACTACAAGGTAGTTGTCGAAGACAAGATGATGAGAGTTCTCGACGCAGGTGATAGATTAATCTTGAAGGCTCCAATGTCTCAGAATAGGACATTCAAGATTGGACTCAATGTGATGGAGCACAGATGTCTAGCAACTGCAGCCAGCAGAGATGAGTGGTTATGGCATTTTCGACTAGGTCATCTCAACTTTAATGGCATCAGAGAACTGAAGAGAAGAAATATGGTTTCAGGATTACCAGAAAATTGACATTCCAAGTGAAGTCTGTGAGGAGTGTGTTCAGTCGAAACAACACAAGAATAGCTTCAGCAAGGATGCAGGAAGGAAGTCGAAGGCAATACTTGAAGTCATATACTCTGATGTATGTGGTCCAATCCAGGTGGATTCGATTGGTGGCAATAGATACTTTGTTACATTTATAGATGATTACAGTAGAAAGCTATGGACTTACCTCATCAAGAAGAAAAGTGATGTGATTGAGGTATTTTCCAGATTCAAGTCCATGGTCGAAAGACAGAGTGGCCGAAAGCTGAAAATTCTGAGGACTGATGGTGGTGGAGAGTATGTGTCGAAAGAGTTCGATACACTATGTGTAAAAGAAGGGATTGTGCATGAGGTGGTGCCACCTTACACTCCACAGCAAAATGGGATTGCAGAATGCAAGAACAGAACCATCATGAATATGGTGAGAAGTATGTTGAATGGAAAGCATCTACCTAAAAAATTATGGGGAGAAGCAGTTTCGACAGCAACATATATATTGAACAGATGTCCGACGAAGAAGCTTGAAGGAATCACACCAGAAGAATGTTGGTCTGGTGTCAAGCCTAGTCTCAGTCACTTGAAGGTGTTTGGATCTATAACACATAGACATGTGCCAGATCAGTTGAGAAGGAAGCTTGATGATAAGTCGAATCAGATGATCTTGATAGGATATCATTCGACAGGAGGTTACAAGCTGTTCGACCCAGTGAATAAGCAGGTAGTGATCAACAGGGACGTGATCATAGATGAGCTTAAAGAATGGGATTGGACTGATAATGCCAAGAAGGATTCAGTGAGAATCTTTTGTGAAGAACCAGCTACTGAGGTCGAAATAGAAGTTCGACAGGAACCAGTTGCAGATGAAGCAGGTTCAAGCAGACCTCGACGAACAAGACACATGCCTGCAAGGTTGCAAGAATGTGTAATCATATCAGATGATGTAGTCGATGAGGAAGGTGAGCTGGTATATTATGCTTTCTACGCAGATGTCGAACCAGTCAATGCAGCTGAGGCATTGAAAGATTCAAAGTGGATGAATGCAATGATTGAAGAATTGGAGTCCATCGAAGTCAATGATACCTGGTCACTTGTCGAATTGCCGCAAGGCAAGAAGGCAATTGATGTGAAGTGGATTTACAAGGTGAAGGTAAATCCTAAAGGAGAAGTAACTCGACACAAGGTGATACTTGTGGCGAAAGGATTTCTTCAGAAGGAAGGAATCGACTTCGATGAAGTATTCACACCTGTTGCTAGAATCGAAACAATCAGGTTGGTTGTTGGTCTAGCAAAAATGAACAACTGGCACACATGTCAGATGGACGTGAAATGTGCATTCCTTAATGGCCCCTTAGACGAAGAAGTTTATGTTGCACAACCAGTTGTGTTTGTGAAACAAGGCGAAGAAAGAAAGGTGTGCAGGCTTCATAAAGCCCTGTATGGACTTAAGCAAGCTCCAAGAGCTTGGAATAAGAAAATCAACAGCTTCTTAAGGGAGAAGGAATTTGTGAAGTGTAAAACTGAGCATGGAGCAATTACCATGAGGATAGACAGTATGTCAGCTATCAACTTGGCGAAGAATCCAATAGCTCATGGTCGAAGCAAGCATATCGAAATGAGGTTCCATTATCTTCGAGAGCAGGTAGCAGAAGGGAAGATGAAGTTGGAACACTGCAGAACTGAGAATCAGATTGCAGATATCATGACGAAGGGAGTGCAGGTCGAAGCCTTCAGAAGACTAAGAGCCATGATATGTAGACAGTTTAGACACAACGAATTAGATGGTGTGTTAAATGTAATTCATTGATTTGATTTGATATGATTAGATTTGATTTGAATATTTTGGGCATTTTATGTTTTGGGCTTTTGTAAACCTAAAACTATAAATAGGGTGTCTTGCTTTGTATTCAACACAACATAGAACAGGTTTCACAGTTGCAGTTTGAGCAAGTGAAAGTTCTATAAGCAATAAGAAATTCCACAGTTGTTGGTAACACATTCTCTCCAAATATTTCTTCTCTCATTCTTCTCTTTCTTGTTTGTTCTCTTTTTTCTTTTGTTGTTCTTGATAATTACTTGTTATTACCATTACTATCATATTGTGGGTTTGTTCATCAATCTTGAGATCAAGATTGAAGGGAATTCTTCATACGGTGTGAGGTGAATTTCCAACAACACTCTCCATCAAGTGTGAGTCTATCCACAATGTTTCCACAATTCTCCCCATTAAGCAAAAGCTCGTACACTTGTACCGCCGTTGACACTCTTCAACGGGACACTCAACCCACCATTTGCGGGGATACTTTTTCGATACAAGTAAGTCGGTCCCTTTCACGAATCAAAGGTCGTGGAACTTTTTTTTTTGAGCAATACACTTTTGTGAGAGACACGCCACATATTCACCTAAAATCTAGCGCAACAATCGAGGGGTCAAGCAAAGAGCATTCTCAATTGTGGGACATCCTTCTTAGAGAAGCACACCTTTATGAGAGACACACCACATATTCAGCCAAAACCTTAAGGTAATATGTGAGTAGATTCTTTCACTTATAAATGTTCAAGTCACCATATTCATATCTAATATGGAACTATTATCCACACTACTCAAACTTGTAATTATTTTTCAAAACCCAGAAGTGTTATTGTCACTGGTCAATGAGTGTATCATCTTGAGATGAAGAATAAATTTCATTACAGCTTCTCACTAGTCAATGAGTGTTGGTGTGTTGATCTTGATTTTTCCACTTTAAACCAAATCAATTTTATTGCAAACTATCTACCTTAAACTTATTCTACTTTAAACCAAATCAATTTTATTGCAAATTAAGGGTGTTGATCTTGATTTTTCCAAACTATTCTACTTTTGTTTTTGAAACTTATTGAAAAATGATTACCGAATCTCAATCCGGTTTGAAACAAATGGTTACCGATTTTTTTTTAATTTGATAAATGGGCCACCAAATTTAAAATATAAATTTAGACTGAATTTTAAAATTTGGATTACTTTGGATATGAATTTAGTTTATGGTTATTGGTTATTTTACACACCCCTACCCAAAACCTTAAAGTGATGTGTGAGCGAATTCTTTCACTTATAAATATTCAAGTCACCACATTCATATCTAATGTGAGACTATTATCCACACTATTCTTACTTGTAATTCTTTTTTAAAATTCAGAAGTGTTATTGTCACTAGTCAATGAGTGTATCATCTTGATATGAAGAATAAATTTCATTACAGCTTCTCACTAGTCAATGAGTGTTGGTGTGTTATAAACATATTTAATAATTAATATTAGTGTGATAATGAACAAAAATAGTGATATAGTACCATGTACAAAAAAAACCCACCCACTCACATAAGGTCTTATTAGGTAGGTAGGTACATTGATAAGCTGATATGAATAAGAAAAAAAGAAGAAAAAAAATAGAACTATCTTGCTGATGGAAGACATCCATTTGACAAATCAGGGCTCTCAATTTCAAGAAAACTTGTAAGCAAAGTTTTCCTTGAAGATTGTGGTTTTGAATCACCTGAGGATGATACTTTCATTTGACTTTCTGTTCCTTTCTCTATCTTAGAAGCATCTTGTATTGCCAAAATCACTTCTTGCATCCTTGGCCTAGAGGCACCATGTGGTTCTACACATTGCATGGCTATTTCAGCAACCCTCCAAATTGATTCAGTTTTCACATTTCCAATTAGCAAAGGATCCATAATGCTTATTATATCCCCTTTCCGAATTAACGATCGTGCCTGCAAAAAACCAATATTTCAGTCATATAAGTTGCTTATGCCAATAGATAAGCTCAAATAAGTCAATTCAGTGAGGCTGCAAACATCAACATACCCAATGAACTATATTCATTTCTGGACCATAATCTTCTGGTGACACCGGTTTCTTTCCGGATATCAGTTCCAATAGAACAACTCCAAAACTGTATACATCACTCTTTTCGGTCAATTGCTGATTTGCATAGTACCTATTAACATGGAGAGAAAAAATGAGCTCAACATGTTTAAGAAAAACAATGTTGTCGATCATGAGCACAACGGTAACGTCTTACTCAGGATCCAGGTATCCCACAGTTCCTCTTGCAACACTTGATATATGAGTTAAATCTTCTTCGGCTAGTCTCGAGAGTCCAAAATCTGACACTTTTGCTCTCATATTGATGTCTAGGAGAATGTTGCTTGTCTTTACGTCTCGATGAATGATACTAGGATTGCAGCCTGTGTGTAAGTATTCAAGACCTATAGAAATAGATATTTTGTCATTTTAATGTTTACTCGGAAAAAGGAAAAACTAAAAGTTACTAATGGACCAAGGAATTAACCGATGTCATTGATCAACCTTTGGCAGAATCTTCTGCAATTCGAAGCCGAATTAACCAGTCTAATTGCTTCTGACTCGAACATTCTGTCAAAGAATCGGAATTTAAATCATGATATATTTTTTTACTACTAAGTATGTAAGTGAATACAAGGGTGTGGAGTTGAACCATGAATGTGATCCCTTAGAGTGCCATTGTGCATATACTCGTAAACAAGAATATGCTGATATTCTTCTTCGCAATATCCGATCAGAGGAACCAAGTTCCTGTGATGAATTCTTGATAGTAGGGCTACCTGCATTTGCGACGTTACAATCAATAAGGTAAAATTCAAAAACACGAATCTTTTGATTTGAGTAAGAAAACTCTACCTCAGTTACAAATTGATGGTTCCCATGGCTTGATGGATCAGTCATGGTCTTAACTGCGATCTCTTTTCCGTCTTTCATTTTTCCATAATAGACAGATCCAAAGCTTCCTTTTCCAATTTTCTTTGAAAAATTGTCGGTAGCTTCTCTCAAATCCGAGAGATTAATATAGTATGCAGTACCTTCATCCATTAAATTCCCATCTCGGCCGAAAGAGTATCCGGTTAAATGTTTAGTTTTACTGCGTCCCGGAATACCTGAGCATAATAAGGCTTTAACAATAGAAATTTATTATATATATTCGTCAAGAAAAAAGTATTAGACTTGACTTGTTTTTTCACTAACCTTTTTCATCACTTTTCTTTTGAGAAGCCTTTCGCCTTAGGTAATGTAATAACAACAAACTCCCTATGAACAAGACTAATAGAATCACTAGTACTCCGATTGAAACTCCTATTATCAAATGAAAATGCTTTTTGTTCTTTCTATGTAGTTCAGGATTATCATCATAGCTGAAAGATAAAATAAATGTCTGTCAGTGTCACTTCAATCTATATACCGATAAACTAGTCAGAAAAAAATCCTTGACCTATTATTACACTCATACGGATGTTATTTAAAGTTCATTTTCAATGAATCTTTAGCATCTGCTTCTAAATTGATCTGATATCAGAAACTATGATTTTGCCGAGCTTACATGAAAGTGATTTTTGAAGATAATAATCCTGCTGGTATTTCCCCGATAAATGAGTTATTCTGTATATACCTGGCATAGATACGTTCATAAATGTATGAGGCTAACAACGAAAATGCTACTAGTTGTACTGAAAGTAGAGATAATAAATATTGATGAGTAGACGCTACATACAATGCTTGTAAACTTGGCAAGCTACCGAGGTAAGGCGGTAGTGAACCGGCCAACTTATTGTTCTCTAGATGTCTGCATATCATTATTGAAAGAAGAAAAAAATGAAAAAGAGGAAAAAGAAGAAGAGTGGTTAGATATTGATTCCAAACTAAAGAACTTACACAATCTTTAGATTGATTAGATTGCTCAGGTCAGGTAAATTTCCGGTAAGCGAGTTTCCATCTAACCACCTAAGAAAACAATAATGAATTACAAAAGCTAAAATAAATAGAAGCATTTTCTGTTTCGAAGGTGTTTTACTTACAATTCTTCCAAGGCGTCCATGTTGTTGAGCTCTTGTGGAATTTCACCGGTCACATTCCTTCTTGACAAGTTTCTAATTCAAGTTATTGCAATCAGTAAAAACATGTACTGCTTTAATTTCAAAATGTTATGCAAACATCAGGAACGTTTGATTGCCATTTTTCATCATGCTTCTTCTGACTTACGTTTTTCTGGGTTATAACTACATCGCTAGCTCGAACTCTATAGCATTAATTTTTGGATATCAAAATTCTAATGTGTTTAAAAACAGCTGCCGTAGATGGCTCAACCAATCACTAGACACTTAGCAAGAAATGGAAGTGTCGACAAAAAAGGTATAGAGACTTTACATCTTTGTAATTCTTGGAGGTGTACCGGAACTACAGTTCACCCAATCCCATGGAGTTGGAACACAAGGATCACCTTCGTTCTTCGGGATAATTTCATCAGACAAGGATGCAAATGTACTTACAGAATTTGCTGTAAAAACAAAAGCATGGTTAGCAATTCTTTAATTTGATACTCGCTCTTGATTCCTATTTCCATAACTAATATGCTATAATTTGTATCTGTAACTATTCGAATATTATATCAAATTCTTCGATACATGCACCAAAACATCTTTTTTTCCCAAATACACACTGATATTAATAAGAACTTACAATCTTGCTTGAAGGTCTTCGAAGCAATTTCTTGATATTTGCTTATTTCCATAGCATTTAGTAGAGGCCCTCTAGTAGAATCGCGCGTCCTCTTAAACGAGAAGGAAAGAACAAATTCAAGACTCACATTCATGTAACTTGGTTCGTAAAGGGTGTAGCTACCATTAGCATTCTCAGCTATGTTCACCACTGCGTTGCTATAGTCAGGTATATAAGGTTGCTCCAGTTTGAATTTCCTAGTCTCATTCTGACCCAAATCTTCAATTTCTGCTAAGTAAGCATAAGCTCTAGCATTCGCGGGAAAGTCTTCTAAGTTGAGTCTGTAGCTAAGTAATCCTTTTGTGCCAACAACTGCAGTTTGCATGACCTTAACTGGAGGGTATTCTCTTGTCTCTATTCCTATGTTCCTTGTTGTGCTAATTCTTTCTGTGCCTGTTGCTACTCCAACAAGATAATTTTGTCTTTTTACAAGATCCGACTCCCATATTCTATCATATGGATCCTCTGGATACCTGATGAACATTAGGTAGATAAATCAAGCTGGTGAAACCAAATATATAACTTTTTGAAAATTTTAGAATTCTTAATCACATGTAGTTTTTAATAAGACAATTTTAGGAACTAAATTCATTGATCCAAAAGGACTAATATAATCTGAGATTTCCAATTGTAGTGACTGTTAGAGCAACCCTAGTTCAAAAGATAACAGATACAATTTTGTTAAAACGCATGATTTGATCATGTAGTTTGACCAATTTTGTTAAAATGCATGACTTGATCACGTAGTTTGACCAATTTTGTTAAAACGCATGATTTGATCACGTAGTTTGACCAATTTTGTTAAAACGCATGATTTGATCACGTAGTTTGACCAATTTTGTTTACGTCTCTCACCACATGGTAGCCACAACAGTGTCTTTCCATTGTTCAAGCTTAGTGTTACAAATTACAACTAGTGTTTAAATATTATAGTCCAATTTATAAGATTACCCTTGAACCATATTGCAAGGGTCAAAGTCCCCCGACATCCCCAGGTCACCGCCCAACAAACGAATGAGTCAAGCCTACAGCCCTCCTTGTGTTTAAATACTATGGTCCCGTTTACAAGATTAGTTACTTGTCCACTTATCAGAAAACTACGAGTCATTCCTATTCTGGGCCGCTCACAAGGCCCACGCATCAAGTCCCAATAGCAAGCACTAAGAGGAAAGGGGCGATGAACAGGTACGACCTGACTCAAGCACGGAGCACATGAGTCCGACCTCCTGTCAACTTGTCACCGTCAGATCAAATCGGACGGTGATCCACACGAAACGTCGGATCAAGCGGAAGCAGTTCTAACCACCTTCCACATATAAAGCTCTGCACGCGCCGAGATCTAGGTAGTCTACTCATTCTCACACTCAAACTACTTCTCATTCATTCGCTGACTTAGACATTAGAGTACTAACCTTGCAGGTCTACCCCGCTCCACCACATCAGAAGCTCACTCCACCGCACCTGAACCCTATCTCACTCTGTCATCAACTATTTCTAGTTCCTAAACCAACAGTTACTAATTTAAAATAAGAACAATTTCATCAACTAATTCGACATCATCTTACAATTTCACAGACTAAATCGATGATTCACTGTAACAAAATATAAGAGAAAACCACCATACCTAACAGCATCCTCAGTTGGAGCACCGAAATTAATTCTTGCAGCCACTTTCAAGAAGAAATCATCCTCAAAATCAGTAGCATACATAGAAAGATTCAAGGGCCTAAGCTCAAGAGTAGATATAAAAGGAGAACCAGTAGTAGCACAACAAACACAAACATCAACAGAATTCAAAGGTGCCCTAAAAATCATTTCCTTAACATAAACTCTCGAATCATCATAAATTGACACAGTAGCCCATTTAGTTGCATCCAAATAAAGCTGAAACTGAGGGTAAGTATCTCCATTTTCCAAACTTCCATACTGAAAACTTGCTCTTACCAAATACCTTCTTCTCTCCTCAGTCTCAAGTGTATAACAATATTTTCTACTGTCCGTAGGAAAATCTCTGCGTCTCTCATACTGAACTTTGTTCCCATTAGGGTTTTTCACTTTCACTGTCTCACCATTTTTCATTATCTCAGAATCTGAAATCCATGAAATCCCTGTGGCTATATCTGTGTAGTTACTTCTTGTTCCTCCACAATCAATGCTTATAAACTCTGCAATCCAAAGACAATAATTTAGAACAGAATAATCATTATACTATATAGTAAAATGCATGGATAGTACATTAGACATGTACCTTGAAGTTGTGAAGTTGTGTATGATACTAAGAAAAGAAGTGTGAAGAGAAAGAGAGAAAATAAAGACATTGAATTTGGGAAGAGAACAAAATAGTAATGATAATTTGGATCAAGAAATTTGGTTGATTGAACAAAATTAATTGCTTGTTTGAGATGAGAATATGAAACAGCTTTCTTCCACTTAATGGCTTTTTTGCTTTAAGTCTTTTACTTTACATATTGATAGTTGTTTTGTATGGCTTTCTTTATCTGATTTTTGGAATCTTCTTTTTCTTTGAGAAAATAAGACTACTTGTTCCTTTTCCTTTTTTTTCTTTCTCTATTATCCTAAAAAGAGCAACACACAAGCTCAATAACGAAAGATACTAGTAATATTTTTCTTTGGTATAAGAAGAGATTAATATTGAGAATTTCTTAATTTAGCCATTTAGTATTTTTTTTTTTGAGAATGGTATTTTTGGACGTATTTTTTTTATATTTAATATTTCCGGAGATATATTTATGGAAAAAATTCCGTAAATACATTTTCAAAATCTTATTCGAACATGTTTTTTTAAAAAAAATTAATTTTGTTGGTCGCAAATGAAAATTAATTATTGCACATGAATATAAAATAACATATATCCGTAAATAAAATAATATGATATATATGTAAGACGTCATATGTCATAAACATCATCAAAAAGTAGTACATCAATGTCATCAAAATATAGTACATAAAAAATATCACAATCACTATTGTGTGTGTCTGACAACATCTTCATCCTCTCCTCTGTCTATGTCTTTGCTGCCTCCTTTGCCTCTACCGCCTCCTCGGCCATCGATCCCACTCGTCCTGGCGCGACGCCTAAGTGCCCCCTCTGCCACCGTAATCATCACATCCAATATACGTCTGTCGACGTCAATGTCTGCCCATCTCATCTCTATTATCTGATGACAGCGAGGCAGGACATCCTGAGTGTGGTCCAACTGAGACTGTTGCTCCTCTAAAATCTCCTAATGAGCTGGTATGGACGATGATCCTTCTGCAGTGGGCACTATGTAAGGGTGTGAGAAGGTGAAGAACCACATGATGTAGCCATCAACGCAGCTCCAGTCTTTCGGCGCTCTGGTCGCCCGAGCCTCGTCCGGTACCATGTGCCTCTGATAGTCAGCATAAATCTCATCTATCTGCATACGGATCAAGGCGAGAAGAGTGGAAACAACTGGGTGTTTGGGTATCGTTTGTGTGTACCTGAACTGTCGCATGACGCGCTCGGGCAAATATGGAACAATGATGATCGAACTGTATGCCAATCATCCTAAGAATAGTGAGATATCATCAAACAGGCGCGTCACACGGTAATCAGCATTGACGTTGTAGCGGATGTCCTCAGCAGCCAGAAAATCGATATAGACTCTATAAGGGTCGACCGCCTGGTTCCCCTAAGTGGGAGAAAGGCATGGGCACACGACATCATCTCTGAATATCCAAGCCTGAAATGAAAATAAAAAACATCATAATCAAGCATTATCACGAATATAGAGTGAAAAGAAATGAAAAAAAGTCAAAGGATATAAGATTGTTACCACAAGCAGCGATACGCTGCCTTCCACAATCCTGGTCTTCCACAGGCATCCCTCTCCCAACCTGAATACAAGTAGGTGAAAAATGATTTTTTGAGGATTAAGAGAGTTTGGAGATTTTGAGAGTGAAGAAGATGAAAAACGAAGAATGAGGGAGGAGAAGAGACTCTAATGCGAATGTATTCCAATATGTTTCGGAGCTATATAAACGGAAACATTTCGTAGATGTAGTTCCATAAAAAATCAACGTTGAGTAAAAAAAAAGGTGCGTCTGGAGATACATCTTCGAAAGTAGGGGGTATTTTTGGAAGCGCACATGGTGCCTAAGAACCCCAAGGAGTGGGGTAAGAAATTATCTTAATATTTTGGTTTGAGCCCACTCTATTAAATCCCCCAACAAATTAAAAACAACTAAAATTAGGTTTAGGAACCTGTGTCCACAAATCTAAAGTTTTATCAACCATGAGATATGGTCAATTCCTTCAAACTAAATATCTTTATTTCCTCCAAACTAATTTTCATTAACAATGGTTTTCATTATTGATAATGGTTTTCATTAATAATGGTTGAATCAAAGCCTTCTTTGCAATGCTGCATTGGAAGATATGGTCATCTGACCCCTGTGTCATTTAAATGTCCTACCTTTAAAATAAGCTTACAAATCCAAAGCCTCTTTCATCCCTCAATTGTGGGCTAAAGCTATTTAGAGATAGGACATTCCTCCATCGAATACAACTTTTATTTAGAAGTTGGTGTTAGATAAGATTTCTACTAATGAGAATCTTTGTCTCAGGGGTTGCAACATTTTTTCTCTTTATAGTCTTTGCAGAATGTTAACTGAATCAACTCAATACTGATAGATTTAAAAGAATTGAATAAGTACAAATTATAGCATATTGTTATATTAAAAAATAATCAACAATGATAAGAACGGTGTATCAGATAGGATTTGAGAGATTGTCATCGAAAGAGTTGGTATGAGAGGAATACTACCCTAATTGTAGTCTAAGGTTTTAAAGTATGTTAATTGTCTAATGAGGCAACACTTAAATAGTTAAACGGCTGAGGGTAGGGAGGTCTCATTGGGTTTAACTGAATGGTCTAACCTGTCATGATCAATTCAGGCACAAAATTCAATCAAATAATTCATCAATAATTATTGTTTAATAACAATTGGCCATAGTATAATTAATTAATAATTGATTATGTTAATCCATATTAAATTAATTAAATAGTTAATTTAACAAACACATCTTCTTTGACCGCCCTTTCTCAAAGAAAATATAGAGTTGGTTTTAAAGCACTGCCAAGATTGCTAACACTCCCTAAATTTTGAATTTCTGGTGGAGTTTTTGCACCATTAGCAGGTCCAACCAATGTTCGCTTCTGCTTACCTTTGCTATTACTTTTAATCTCCACAATTTATGGGAATCCATAAACCATGAGAGATTTAGAGACATAAAACCCAACACTTCAAAATTCATAAATAGAGTCAAAAATCAAATCTCAATTACTGCTCACAAATCCTCAGCCACGTCTCGTGCTTCAATGGAAGATTTCAAGCTGCTCAAAGCTTTCAACATCTCGATTAAGCCTCTTAGGACGCCTAAAATCAAGGAAGTCTTATGGCATCCTCCTCCCTTAGGTTGGATAAAGTGCACCTGTGACGGTGCTTACAACCACGATGACCTTCTTGTCGATTGTGGTGGATTGTTTCGTAACCATATCGGTAACTTCATATTGGCTTTTGCACAGTCAAGTGATTCTCCTCATACTTAATAGAATTTGTGACAATCATTACAACCATAGAAATTGCTATTGAGAAATGTCAGATTAAACTTTAGATAGAGATTGATTTAACTTTAGTGGTTCAAGCTTTTAATAAGCTATCTTTGATCCCTTGACAAGTCAAAATTGCTTTGTCAAATTATATATTTGCTTTTTTTTGTTAGTAGCCATTTTTTTATTTTTTGATATATATATATATATATATATATATATATATATATATATATATATATATATATATATATATATATATATATATATATATATATATATATATATATATATATATATATATATGTAAGGTTTCATTTAAAAAAATTTACATAACATAAATTAAATTTTTCATTTGTCAAGTATATTCACTAATTGTGACTACTTACATTTCATGTTTTTAATATTTAATATTTGACACTTTTTAAATATGTCTATTTTTATCGAAATAAATTTAAAAAACAGTTAATAAAGTTTAACATGACTACTCTTTTTTATGAAAAAATAATAATGAATAAGTATGTTTGTTCGATAGGAAATTTAATCTCGTAAAAAAATAAAATATGTTTCTTTGGGGTTTTAAATATTAGTTTTATATTAAACATAAAAAATATCACATCTATTAGATCATGTATCTTGATTCTAATTACAAATAGATGGAGCAAAGATTTGAGATCTAATGCAAAAAGTTATGTATAGTGCTGGTAAACATAACCTTAATTATGCAAAATTGAAGGCCAAAAGCTAAGATGGAAAAAGAGATTTATGATTAGACTGAGTGGGTTAAATTAATTAATGTAGTTAAATTTGTGCTTTAGTAGAGCGTATAATAATAATAAAAATGTTATTAAAGGTGCAACTTTATATCATGTTGTAGTATTTCTTTCTGCTTTTTGATGTTTGAAAAAGTATGCAGATATCGTGTGGTCCCCACAGTCTCAAATTTCCATGCAATTAATTCGGTGGTCCAATGCGCACAGATTCACTCTGTTTTCTTTATTTTCAACTTTCGCTGCTTCTGTTTTTCAGGAGTTTTTCTTATTCTTTTTTATTTGGAAACTTGTGTTTTATAAACCGGTTCGATAACCTACTCGCTGATATTATTGTTATGGATTGGACAAAGAATCAAATCGATAAAACTATCGTGCTACAAAAAATATCCGAGTACATCGCACACTAGATGATATAATAGAGTCGTCATCTCTCATATTTATTGTATTTAATGATAATCATTTTGATTGTTCTTTGCACCAGTGTGTGTTACTATCTAGAGTTTCGTAGTTTATGGTGGAAATACAGATTTGTTGGTTGTTTTTAAAGAACAATTATAATCATATCCTAAAAATGTATCCTCGTTTGGATGCTCCAAACTTTTAATTTGACTGCTAAAAAACAAATTATAACATTACTTTTTATGAAAAGAAAGAAAATTATTTTGAAAAAGGTTTGTGTGATAAAACAAAAAAAATAGTTGTTTGAATTGAAAAAGAAAGAGAAATTGCTTGAATTGAAATAGAATTGCTTGAATAGAGGAATTGTTGTTTGAATATTATGGAAATATTGTTTGAACCAGGATTGTGTTGTTTGCATCAATAGGGTGGATTTATTTGTACCAAAGAGTGTGGCGTTAACTAGTAGATGGTGATTAGCCAATGCAAAATTGTAGGATTTTTCCTAGACCCAGGGATCAAGACCTACAAGAAATGAGTGTTTGCCTAAGCACT